TCTCTGGTTCACTCTCTATCGTTTCTTACTTTTCTTTTTGCGTTTCTGTGAATAAATCTATCAAATATAGAAAGCGCTTAAAGCGATTCAAGCGATGAACAATTTGACGGCATCCCTTATGAGCTAAAACGAGATGACCATCGCAAGGTCATATTTAGTCCATTTTTCTTCTACGATCTTAAAATGATCGTAATTAGATTATTTTTCAAAATGATCTTAGGATGACCATGAACTGATGTTATTTTTACATCATTTTTAAGCTATCACATGCTCCTTCTAACGTGATTTTAAGCTCATGTCATGTATTGCTCATAAGTGGCTCATTTATGTCGCATTTTCTTTGACCTAGTCAATCTATAGTATGGAAAAACAACTCGAATTGCATATTCTTATTTGATTATATGCAACAAATCTCACCTATCCTTAATCTGAACTGTTTACTTTTATAGATTTAACAGATTAATCGCGTAATAAATAAAAGCTGCACATTGCCTTTTTCCGGCTTTCTCTTCGGTTTACGGTAGCTAGAGGCAATGTGCAGCTTTTACTTATTACGTGATTAATCTGTTAAATCTATAAAAGAAAACAGTTCAGATTAAGGATAGGTGAGATTCATGGGCGGCGGAGCAATCTCAGTCTAGGGTAGGCTCGAATTTCCAGCCCAACCGACCCCGAGAGCGAATTGAAAGGCGATTTTTTATTTGTTTATAATAATAAGCACTATAGGCTTTCGTGTTAGATTTGAATTCTGTAGAAGTATGATAACTATCTGATGTTATTGGTTCAAACGAAATCAAGAACTAACAGAGTAATAAAGGAACGTTGCAAAACGTTACAAAATTAAAATAGACGAAACAAAACTATTCATGACCGAAAAAGATTTGTCTGTTTTGATTCTGTGAAATAAAATCAGAGCAGACACTGTTGAGATCAAGTAAATCTAATTTTTCTTTATGAATATGAGGAATAATAACATGATTTAAACGTCGTTGAGTCATTGTATGTTTTTATTCGATTTATTATGCTAAAAGACCGCTCGGCTGTGGCGGTTGTAACGGGAATTGTTAAATATAACAATAATAATTTGCTATATTCGCAAAACATATTTTTACCAACCTGTTGTACATTTAAAAGTTCACATATGGTACCAATTTTTGAAATTTTCTTCTAGCCGAGGTTCATTCCTTTATTAACAGTTGAAAAATAATCGGGTAACATAACTAATTCACGCTTTAATCGTTCAATATCAAAAGCACCAACTAAAAATTCATTCATATCATTCAAATTTATTTCATCATCACTGTCTTTTGTACCATTAGCTGTGGATAAAATGAATTGTTCAACTTTACATAACAAAGGACAAGCTGACTGTTTAAAACGTGAATTGAGTGAATTGATAATTTTATCAATAACTTCGAAATATTGATGATGATAAAGATCATAAACTGTTTCATGATGTGTTGCTATCGGTAAAGAGTCAATAAATCTTGCTGGTAGTTTTCGAGCACGTGGCAATGATGATTCATCGGTCAGTGATTTCGCTTCAGCTCGAATATCTTCATAAAATATTGTGAAATATTCATTAGTTTTGATTCTCGTCAAGTATCTTATTAAAGCGTGAATTGCACATAAAATGTCTTGTAGATGGAAGTGTATCTGCAATTCCATTACCTCACACCACAACGACGACAGTCATTGTATTCCATTGAAAAATATGAAAGCGTCCTCATAACGCGTAGTTGTTATTCAAAAATATACTGTTAGCAACAAGGTGTAATCAATCAAATGGTTTAGTAAATCAAATGGTTTAGCAGCTGTAGCGTAACCTAATTTGGTTTTATATATCTCGACGCAAAACTTTGTTGTATACACAGTAATAGACTACGGAGAGTCTGTGTCTACCAGCATTTTTGATGAACAAGTTTTTTGAAATCTCTTAACCAGGTTGATATCCACTTTTTACTATTTCAGAGAAAGGACGTGTAGAATCGAAGGAAAGCATCGATGTACAAATAATTTAACAAATTTACCATCATGCAGCATGTTTTCACTAGTGTCAAGACTATACGTCCGGCCGTATAGGGAAATTTCTGCATCCGTCTGTCGACAGGGAGCACGTCATGCTTGACTTTTGAACACCTCGTCCCGTCTACTGATTTGATTTGATTTGATTTTTATTTCGACAACAGCAGTTTTGAATGGAAAAGAGTAAACTTTAGTATTACAATACAAAAATTTAACTAATACATAAACATGTTGTCAGGAAAGCAAAAAAGGTT